ATCACATGATCACCTCATTACCCACTTGCCAGCACATACATATACAGGAAGACTCACAGGTAAAACCCAGCCATCTGCAGACAATGGTCCTTGTTAATGGGAGTCATCAAGATTCCAAACCACCATTAATGGCCCACACTTTGCATAATTACAATAGGCCCTCAGAGTTATACTTTATATTTCTAGTTTTAGATACAAGAGCGGTACATTTATACAAATAGAATGATCACACTCAGTAGATTATAAGCTTTGTAGTGATACCTTACAAGAGACCTTTTGCATGAAGCATATTCCAGTTACATTATATTCTTAACATATTTTTATAAAACCATATAGACTGCACAGCGTCACACTTACCACTCACATTAACTTAAAATGGTGAAAAATAAGGTTCTCCTTCACATGGTGTTCAAACTAGTTGGTCCTTACCTTTAAGTCAGTGCACAACTCTGCCCCTCCATACCTTTCTGCCCTTGTCTCTCATGTTGTTTCCCTTCCTTTCTCCTACACCCAGCTCATCTACTCCTTCCTGACACCAGCCTCTGTACCCTGCCTCCCCTGTTTCACCCCCAGTAGTCTCGTAGGCTTTCTTTCCTGCTACCCCTCCTTTTTCATATCCTCCTTCAAACAGAAAAATGTTCTCTGCTGTGTTGTTCACTAGCCCTCACTAAATTACTACATTATATCTTACTGCTGTTATCCCATCCTTCCCCTCAAGTCCTTGGCATGTCTGATAGCAGCTATAAACTTTTCAGGGCAGTGAATGTCATTTTTTGGGACATGCTCCACAAACAGTTGGGCTTTGTGAAATAGTTTTTATATTATTAATTTATTATGTAAGTCTAAAACAATAAAACTGAACATTGAAAGAAAAATGTTTGCTCTAATAGAACATTCTTCCATTTTGAGGTTAACATTCTCAGCTGCCATAAATGTGAAAAAGAAATATGCACACTTGAAGTCTCTATACGTGGATGCAGACAATTTTAACTTTTTTCAGAACTGAAGTGATGCATTGTCTTTAAAAACAAATACCCTTTTTAGACTTTAAAACAAAGCTGTGTTTGAGTTATTTCTGCACAAAACACAAGTGTCTTAACTAAAACATTTCAGCAACATTGATGCAGCTAATTCCATAAAGGACAAAAAATTGACCTCCAGCTAATGCAACAGAGAGAAAGCTTCAGCCTGAGTATAAGGGTATGTCTACACCCAGCCGCTAGTTCGGCGGCTGGGAATCGAAGTTCTGGGTTCGACTTATCGCGTCTTGTCTGGACGCGATAAGTCGAACCAGGAAGTGATCGCCGTCGACTGCGGTACTCCAGCTATACGAGAGGAGTACCGTGGCGTCGACGGGGGAGCCTGCCTGCCGCGTGTGGACCGAGGTAAGTTCGAACTAAGGTACTTCGACTTCAGCTACGTTATTCACGTAGCTGAAGTTGCGTACCTTAGTTCGAATTGGGGGGTAAGTGTAGACCAGGCCTTAGGGGCATAATTTTCCCAAGTACAGAAAATTCTTCTCACCTACTCATTTGCTACATCAGAGGTAGTCAATAGGCAGACCATGGGCCAAATCCGGACTGCCAGATGCTTTTGAACGGACTCTGACATCTTTTTATTTACTTATCAGTATTGTTTTTGTATTATTTTCTCTGGAGTCTGGACCTTGACAATACCTTGACCATGAAATCTGGACCTTGACCAAAAAAAAAAAAATGATTACCCCTGTGCTACATGATAATTATACTATAATCAGAGTGCCTAGTATCTTCTTAACTATAAGATTTATTAACCTAATATGTGAATTCAGCAACTTTAGTATCTCTGATTTTGTGAACAGCAAAACCAGCTTCAGACATACCCCCTAAACCTAAAAGATCTCCCAAGCGGAAGAAGATGGAAATTATAAACTCTGATTCAGATTCAGAATTTGGCATTCCAAAGAAGACTGCACCACCCAAAGGTAAGGATTTTGGTGCACTGCATTGTTAGGATTAGTATATTACTATAGATACATATCTGTAGAATTTTACTACATTACATCTTACTAATGTTACCCTATCACCACTAAAGCTCATACTTCCAAGCATGTTGTATTAAGTGAATTGTCTGACTTTCTCAGCTTCTCTGTATAACACAGGGTCAAATTGAGTTTTGTGAATGAAAAAACAGCACTGTTCTGAGTGTCATGAAAACTGTGTTCATTTCCTAATATGCACTAGTCAGCCATGAGATGTTTCTCATTGGTACAACATTACACATTGACTTGGTACCTCCCACAATAGACAATGTTGTAAAACGGTGCTAAGTGAACTGTACTTTATGGAAATTCATTTAATGGCACAAAATCTCCATTTCTTCATTATTACTAATGTTTCTTATAGGAACCTTTATTCTTCAGATACCATTTTCACTGTTGGGTCTCATGTTCCCAGTAAAAGACAGAGCAAAGCTCTTCTAGTGTAGGTGGTTTTGGCCCTTTGAATCAGTTCAGTGGGAAACCAGCTTTCATCCCTCACACTATGGCCACAGTAGAATTTTATAGTAGGAGATCTCAACTGTGAGGGAGTGGATCTAAGTAGATACAACACAGAAGACCGAACGGAATAGCCACAGAGACTACATGGAAAGAATGCCTCAGTGATGAGACATCAGACTAATTCCTCTAAATAGATAATGATGACAGATAGCCTGGAAGGAGAGTGGAGATCTCATTTAACTACCACCGCCTCAGAGATCCAACAGCTGTAGATCTAGTAGAGCACTGCCCTGTCTTGAACTGAGTGCATGAAATGCAAGAGTGAGATTCCTATGACAAGATGATAGTTTCAAAGAAGCAGAACTAAACGTATGAAACAGAAAGTGAGACACATTGGAGTGGCAGAATGGTAGCTTTTTACTTACATTTTTCATAGGTAGAAGTGAAACTGTAGAATGTTTTAGCCTTTGGATGAAATTAAACTGTTTTAGAAATAGATCTGCTAACATTCAGAACACCAAGAAATGTCACTTTTTTAATATCAGTAAAATTATTTTATTTTTTCTCAACCAGGAAAGGGTAGAGGGTCCAAGAAAAGGAAAGCATCTGGTTCTGAAAATGAAGGTGAATACAACCCTGGGAAGAAAACACCCAAGTCAGCCCCAAGCAAGGTCAGTTCAGAGTCTATTGTTGCATGAAAAGGACAAGGTTAGGCTTCTTGATATCTGGCTATTATTTTCTGTATCACATGAAGCATTTTTACACTATTTTAAAATGTCTAAATCTGATCATTATTCTGAACTGGGATTTTAGATGAGTCTAGAATCTAGATGTTATAGAAATGTTTGTTTCCAATGTGAATGCCAGAATTCCGTATTTTTTTGGCATCATGGGTTTTTTCTTTTTCTTTTTAAGAAATCCAAGAAAGCCTCCTTTGACCAGGATTCTGATGTAGACATCTTTCAGTCAGACTTTGCTTCTGAACCAGCATCTAAGCCACGGATGGGTCGGGCTAGAAAAGAAGTGAAATATTTTGCAGAGTCTGATGAAGATGATGATTTTACTATGTTTAATTAAGTGCCCAAAGAGCACACAAACATTTTCAAACAAATATCTTGTGTTGTCCTTTTGTCCCTTCTGTCGCAGACTTTTGTACATTTGACTTATTTTATGTGATGATGTAATTGATGGTTTTTATTGTGTGTAGGCATTTTAACATTTTGTTCTTACACCTACAGTTTTATGATCTTTTTTACTCATTGAAATGTCATGTAGTTGTCTGACTGGCTCGTAGAAATGTTTTAGGCAGCTGTGCTAAAGCACACATTTTAATTGTCATGGTTGCAAACTGCAGACCTGCTTTTTGAAATGAAGTTTAAACATTAAAAATGGAAAACTGTCAGTCTTGTGTGAAGATTTGGACTACAGGTACTGTTTCTACACAGTTTTAAAATAAATATATTTTATTCTTTGCCAGGAGACTCCATGGAAAAAGGTAAACAGTATATGAACATAGAAAGCATTGTTAAACAATCTCAATGTACAAACAGAGCCAGTGAAAGTACATCACAGACTTGCTAGAATATATATATATATATATATATATATAAAAAAAAAAAAAAATCCACTAGTGCTTTAAATGAAACCTAAGAAACGGACACTTTTTTAATCAGTTAACCATTCTACCACTGTTTTCACTCTGATTCATGGTGATTTAACAAGGTCAAGAAGCCAGATTCTCTCCCCCATGTATTTTGGAAGTCCTAGTGGTAGCCCGCTGGCATCAGGTGTGTTGGGAAAGCCCAACTCCTGGCCCCAGTTTCTTAAGGAAATAAACTAGACTCACCAGTTCAAGAGTAGTGAATAAGCCTGTTGGTTATCCCATGAAGTTTCCCTAATGGCTTGTGAACAAGTAAACAAAAACATGGTAACACTGAAAAGTGTTTCTGCCTTGGAGGCTATCACTGAAAAAAACGTAGGTTTTTTTAAAATGTGTAGATATGTCATCAGCTAGGTAATAAACCACTTTTTAAAATTTAAAGTGACATTAACAGTAGAACAAATGACATCTGAATAACTGAGCTGGTAGTTACACTGATACAGAAGTCCCTTCTGCTAGTGCAGATTTTTTGAATACTTTTATGGGGAAGGAGATGGAATAAGAGATGCAAACTGAGGGCATCAAAAAGAGCAATGACACATTTTCATACTAACTAAATCAGAATGTCTTTTTAAATGTTCTTATCTGGACATGTACAAGTAGTCCATTTTTTATAAACTTGATGTCCTGATCCTTTTAGATATGCAAGACAAAAAAGGAAAGCGCCAAACATCCAGTATAGAAAGTAGAGCCATACATTTGTATGTACAAAGTTGTCAGAAATGTAACCAGAATTTAAAGTTTGAGATTGGTCTTGTCACCATGCAGTCTTGGTTGTTCAGAAGAGAAAATAGAAGCTTAACTAGTTTCTTGTTGCTGATTGAAATGGCTGATTTAGAGTTTCAAACATTTTCTAGTTTTAAGAATTTAAACAGCAAGGAGTAATATACTGATACATATGAAAACGTCTTGGTCCTTTTTGAGTTTTAATATAATATATATATATATATTAAGTCCAGAAACTAAGCAGCAGTAAAAATGTTTTTCTTGCTTTTTTCATCCCTGTACATAAGGTATTAGGAATGTCTAAAGTAGCTGTAAAATGTCTTATTGCAAAAGTGGAGATTGACTGACACTGCTATTATCCACTGAGCTGGGTGAGATGCTAGGACTGTGCTCTGCTGTATTTCCACTGGAGCTTGGTGTCAGTGGTTCATGTCCCTCAGAGTTCTCCAACATTTCCTGAATAAGAGGTGGCATTGATCCAGGGATTTCCATTTTCAATGTAATGACACGTTCTGCACCTTTAAAAACAGAAAAACCCTTTTGGTTAACAGAAGTGTGGCTGTTCATATTAATATTATTACTTTTAGAAATCCCAGTTCAAGACAAAGTATTCCCATTGAGATGGGATACAGTGAAACCTTTGATTTTGATTTTTTTCTCTTTGATATTTTAAACTCCTTGCCTGTAATCAATTTATTAAATATTTTGCTTACAAGATTTTGGGGTCAGTGGTTTGTTTATGTCCTTCAGAGTTGCACAAGGTTTTATAAGCAAAATATTTCATAAATCGTAGTAGTGCAAAAAAAGCAGTACTTAACTATACTAAAAACAGTCAAAATTATTTGTCACTAAAAAGCAATATTAGATCAATTCCTTTTGAACATTTTGTGACGTTTCAAAATAAAAGATACCAGCAAATACAAGCTACAGTATGGGTAAAGGGACTGACCAGTAACACTTTTATTTTAGTGAAAGAAAACCATTTTCAACGTCTCTTCAGAATCATCCAAATTGGTAAAACTTTACAAAATACCAAATTTAATTAAAGGACTAGAAATGTGTCCTGATCTATAATCAGTTTAGCTCCACTGCATGTATTGCAGCAGCAAAGGATGTAAAATATTATGTTAGGGCAAAATTTGCCTTAATGCACAGGGCCTGATTCAGCTCTGTTCCTTTGTGATTATGCCATTTACTTCTGATTTACAACAATATGAGATCAGAATAAGGCTCCTAATTTTGAAATTTCAGAAAATCTTATTTGTTTAGGCGTAGAATGCACTCTGATATTTTTGCTGGAGTTGCTTTACACACACACACTCTCACTTCAGGTATTTCCACTAGTCTGTTCCTAGGGATGTTCTATAGCTGATTACAAAAATAAATAAGAAAACATCACTCTAAGGTTTTGTTTCTGATCCCTTCAACACTACAGCAACCTCTGCAACAGGATGATAAACAGACACAGGCTTTTTGACATTTTAAATATAAGTATGAGAGACTACAAAATGCAGTGCTAGAAACTGTAAATATGAAAAACACAGGTTAAACACTGACTTCTTTCCAACCTGAAGTCATAATATGCCATGAAATAGAAACTATTTTAACATGTCATCATATCCCTCCTAACAAAAGGATTGTACTCTACTAAGCAATAAAGTACCCTGAGAATGTAGTTTAAAGTACTTGGAAACTTCATAGGTAATAGCATCAGTTCCCTCTGAACTAATTGTATTTTTATGTAGAAATGGCACTATAGAAAGCATTACAATAAAAAAGGGCTTATAAACCCTCTATGCTTCAGAGCATGAGCCAGCAATTACTAATGGGATAGGAAGAAACTTGCCTTCTCTTGTATAGGTTGTTCCATAATTATATACTAAGATTTCTTTATACCTTCCTCTAAAGTATCTGGTATTGGCCACTATCAGATAAAAGACAATTAACTAAAGAGGCCTCTGTTTTATCCAGTATGACATTTCCGATGTGGAAAGTTCTCCATGCCTGCAGCTTATAAGAATAATGGATTTAATTTCCCTCACTGCTTGTATAACCCCCAAATAAATCTTAGAACTACCCTGAATTCAAGCAACTTTGATAAAAGTACACTGGGTTTAAATAGCTAGCATGGTGGAAATTTTGTAGGCACCTAAGGGAATTTGGCTCCTTTGAAAATCCCTTCCCTTTTCAATTACCATAGTAATACATTTCTGTTGCTCATAGGTATATACAGAGGGTGGAATTCATAAGGGGAACTTAGGCTGAGCATTGCAGCACCTAACTTTTAGGAGTCTTGCCATCAAGTCAAATTCACATCCCCAAGTTAGGCATCCAGGTGCCCTCTACAATGGAAGGGGAGAGTTAGGTGCTTATAAAAGCCAGCATACTCCAACTCTCACATGGAGGTTCTCCATCGGATTGGCATCGCAGCGTCTGCCATGGGTTGTTTACAACGAATATGGAAGCAACGTAATCTCAGCACGACAACCAAGTTCAGAATCTATTCGAGCTGTATCCTCTCTGTACTGTTGTATGATTGCGAAACATGGACACTATGCCACTCAGACTGGACAAAGCTGGAAGCTTTCCACACAAAATGCCACCGTTGTACATTGGGCATCAAGTGGCATGACTTAATTTGTAATGCAGATGTTTACAGTCGCTCCGGACTACAGACTACTGGGGCCATTGTCCACAAACAGTGTATTACACTTTTCAGACATATCACCTGCGAATGCTGTTCTCCGGATGGCTTGTAACATCCAGGATAAAATTCCACCAACCGAGGGATGGAGGCAGACCCGCTATTACATGGGTTCATCAAGTCTGTTCCAATGTTGGTCTCTTGGGCTTTCAAGCCCTTGTGGTCATACAGGAACAGACCGAATGGCGATCAATCGCTATGGCCAACTGTTCAGCTAAGCAGCAGCAGCAGCATTCTGAGCAGGGAGCTGCATAAGCTAACTCGGGTCGGCAACCTTTCAGAAGTGGTGTGCTTAGTCTTCATTTATTCACTCTAATTTAAGGTTTCACGTGCCAGTCATACATTTTAACGTTTTTAGAAGGTCTCTTTCTATAAGTCTTTAATATATAACTAAACTATTGTTGTATGTAAAGTAAATAAGGGTTTTAAAATGTTTAAGAAGCTTCATTTAAAATTAAATTAAAATGCAGAGCCCCCCGGACCAGTGGCCAGGACCTGGGCAGTATGAGTGCCACTGAAAATCAGCTTGCGTGCCGTCTTCGGCACCCATGCCATAGGTTGCCTACCCCTGAGCTAACTCATAGGAAAAAGCGGAGGGGGGGGGATGCCCTAAGACCTGCCCATCAAAGGGAGTTAGGCATCTAACTTGAGAGGGAGGTGCCTCCCTGTGGACCACTCAGGAGTCACGGCTGAGAACCCTTCCCTGGAGTTAGGTGCCTAAGGCAGGTCAGTCCTTTTTTAAAAAACTGAGCAGGCAGCACTGGCTGAGCTGGATCTCTCTGTGTCTCCTGTTGAAGACGTTCCACTTTTGTGTAAATAATTAAATATTCACTGGGCCACAGAGAGAGAGGTTAGGACACACCTGGGTCATGGGAGACCCAAGTTCCTGCTACACAGGAACAGGCAGACTGGGAATTTGAACACTGGTATCGCTCTAATCACTGAGATAAATGTTGGTGGATATTTTATGTAGGACTCAGTCCAACAGACATGTACCAAATTAGCCTCGGAGTATGCCTCCCAGACTGGGCCAGCGGGCAAGATGGGAGGAATACCTACTTTGTGAACCCTACTGGGGCTTAACCAGCAAGCTGCTCAGTCATGTTAGGACTGAGGCAGCTGTGTGCATGCCTAGTGGCAGAAATTTAGGCCCTAAGGGGACTTTACTAGTGGAAAGTGAGGCACCTACAGGCTTAGGGGGGAGCCGAGCAGGTGTTTTGAAAATCTGAATTTTGGATATAGGTGCCTAGATGCAATTTGCACAGATAAGAAGAGCTATGGTAAAAAAACAGCAAAGTGGAATAAGACAAAATTTCCCAGAAGCACATATGGTAGACTGGGTGACCTTTCATAAACATTTTTATAGCCTTATATTGTTACAAGTTGACTTCGTAAATTTAGCCGATGGAGAGACAATTAACTTTCTGAACTTCACCCTCATGAACAAATTATGAGCTTTATTAAACTATGTATGATATGTAGATCTTTTGCTTTCTACTCCAGTTCTGGAACTTCCCTCTAGAATGATCTTTTAATTTACATCAAGCCATAAGGCTAACTTCTCACTTCAGCGTATAAACCTTACTTCACCATATAAATTGAATTCTAACTTCTTAACCTAGATCCATGTGGTCTTACAGCTATGACAACTTAGATTTTAATTGAAGCAACTATTCTAAGATGCTGACTTCTTTTCTGGGATCTGACTGGGAAAAGTTTTGAGGCATGCTGTCAAATACAAATGCAGTCAGTTTTTTAAAAAATAATCAGTGTAACAGATTCCATTGGTTTACGTATAGAAATCTCGTGACAAATCTAGCAGCTGAAGGAAACCTAGCATTGTTTTTGATATCTGCAGGGGAGGAGAGGCTGGAAACTTTCAAGAAAGTAGAATACTGACTATTAAAAACGGGGGACAGGTAATGCAATGGGTCAGTGCACTAATTGTTCAACTGGAGATTTATGGCCTGCCTCTGCTCTCACACTGGTGTAAGTCAGGTGTAACTCCACTGAAGCCAATCCAGTTACACATATGTAAAGATGATGAGATGAGTATCAGGTCCCCAGAATCAAAGCCTGACATTGGATGCAATCACATACTTAACAGAGGTGGCAGAGTGGATGCCAAAGCAGTGCAGTCTCTGTGCTCAGGACTAGAGCTATCTCAGTGCAGGGTGGCTCAGGGTGTGTAGGAAGAGTAGTCTTGGGGAGACATGCTGGAGGTTGTTCATACTCCTTATCACAGAGCTAGCTGCTAGAGATCATTCCCTCTTGGAGCCGAGGTGCACCAAACGGCATAGGAGCCAGCCCTTACTTGTGTACTACATATAGATCCAGTAAATAGAGAATTTATTGTGTGTCCATGAGATGTACTTATTCTGTCTGGCAGACCCACTAAAATGTAAGGTTTCTCAGACACTGTCAATAAGAAGTTCAGATATGTGAAAAACAGAGTAGTTTGAATTAGATGGGCTAAGTTTCTAAAGTTCAGGAGTGTTTGGATCCAGGAATCTGGTCCATCAGACCTGTGCTTAGGGGAGTTTTACATCTGTTAGATTTTTGGTGCTGTCTGAAAAACAGATTTTCTATTTGAAAGCAACTTGTGATGTACTAATTCAATTAGGCTGCATCCAACTAGAAACAAAGGTGACTGTGTTCAGCTCTGAACTTCTGCCCCAAAACTGCTGCACAATATTCCATTGGAGCAAATACCAGCACCAGGAGTGAGGTTCATAAAACATTTGTCTCTGCTACCCAGGTGGTTCCTGCTAGCTTCTGGAGCAAGTGCTGGAGGTGATCTTTTTCTTTAACCATTGTAGATGGGACCAGTACATTAGATTGCAGTCCAGTTTGACTCCTAAATAAGTGACAGCCGGATGGAAAAAGAGCAGACAATCCTCAACACAGACTATAAAGGACTGATTGGCTTGTCGATTGTTCAGATGGAAGATTGTGGCCACCGTCTTAGACTCACCTAATGTAAGTCTCCACTGATGAAGGTAAATGGCCAGAGCATTCGTGTCCTGGCTGAGTGACCCTTCGATATCATGTAGATCATTTCCCACATCAGTGAGACAGATGTCATCCACATATACATACTTACCAGCCTTGGTTGTTGGTCGGTCATAAGTGTATATGTTGAAAAGGAGAGGAGCTCGAATGAATCCTTGTGGGAGTCTATTACAGAGACGCCTAAGCTGGCTAGCTTTGTCTCCAGCTTGAAAGATGAACCTCCAATTTGTTATCATTTCCATGATAAGCTGCACCATGGCTAACGGGAAATAGCCTGCAACAATTTGGCAGTCAGTCCCCATTGACACATATGCCAGCGGACAGATCCACCAGAACGGCGCCAACTTCCTTGCATTCTTGAAGGCATCTTTGATAGGTGTTAGGCGAATTACTTGATCTTGCTATCTGTACCATTAGTGCCTTAGCCACACATTAACATTTAATTTGTGTGCGTGTGTTGGCTTATAGAGATCCCTCAAAACTTCGATGAGATGTAATTTTACCATTAAAACTGCATGGAGAGCGATGCCGGATGAAAACAACCTGCTGTACACAAGGCTGACAATGGTCCTAATAGGCATAAATAAGCATTGCACACTTTTTATAAGAAGATCTGCCTACCTCCAGAAGAAAAACCTACCCCTGCTGACTTGCAATGACTGACTTTGTGACATCCTTTTTCAATAGCTGTTCATACACTCATGTCCAGTGCTGCCGGCCTAGTGCCAATTTCAGATGAACAGTGGCATATCCGGGTCAACAGCTACATCCTCACAGTGTGGCAGCAACTCTGGACAAGACATGCTGATGAATTTCAGAAGCTCTAACTTACATCCACCTGTTTGCAACCTTGGACACAGAGCCTGGACTAGAGCGTCACAGAGTAGTTACCACAATGCAGAAATTTGGCTTAGCCCAATCTTCAGAGTTCGACTACAGGGCAGCAATACAGGTGGTCAGACGTGGTGGAGAGAGTGCACAATTAGAAGACTGGAGGGTGGACTGCAACACCTGGTCACCCTCGATGCAGCAGTTAGATGGTTGAACAGCACATATCAACCACAAGTTACATACAAAAGAAGATTAACAACTGAATTAACAGTTCAGAGGTTGATTCTGATGTTAAAATAACTGGTAGACAGTTCCTGGTGATGCATAATTTCATTCCTAACCCATCTTTACCCCAAATCTCATTTTCAGTATAAATTGCATCGTAATATTAAAGCACGGTGCATATCTACAGGGGGTTGCTGTACAAACATAGATAAAAAGAATTAAACAAAGATTTCCCAACAAAGAAAAATAAAAGGGGGGGGAATTGTTTTTTTTTAAAATGCGTAAATCCAATTCTACATGCCAGCTGTCTCCTGACACTGTGATGGCGATGATGCCAGGGCACACCATACCTTTTGCACTGATACTGCGAAGATCTGTGATTTTCATTAAGATCTTTGGAAACATGTGAGGCTTGTTGGGTCGTCTTTTTCTGATATAAATTTTCAGTGCTTCCAGCAATGGCTCCTGTAGCTTATCCACTTTTGCTGGTTCTTCAAGGTCCTGGCGGTCTGGAGAGAATAAAAATTCTGCCATTGGTATAAATCTAACATTTTTCACAACCTTCAAATAACAAGAGGTTCCTCCATGGTCTTGACAAACTCTGTAGATCTCCCTATTTTTAGTTTATTCCTCTTTCACGCTCACCCCCCTGTGTCTCTTCTTTCAGTCATCATCCTTCTGCCTGAAGAGAACAAGCTGCGAGTCTCCTCATATCTTACCCATGCTGTTCCTCAGTTATTTGGAGGGATTACAATATGAGCAACGCAAAACCCTTACTACCCTGCTTCCTGTCTCTCTCTCCACAGGGGATGAGCATGCTGCTAAATGTAACATTTCAAAATTAATTTTGTATGTGTTTATTTTTATAATGAGACTTAATGTGACTCAACTAAGTTAAAAGGCCACATTTGGTTATTTGATCACGAGATCCAAGAGCAAGTCAATTACCTTTGCATATCAGCAGATGGCAGCACTAGCCTGAACTACAACAAATGTCACTCCAAATTTGTTAGTCTCTAAGGTGCCACAAGTACTCCTCGTTCTTTTTGCTGATACAGACTAACATGGCTACCACTCTGAAACCTGACTCCAAATATTAAGGATTCTGATTTGCCACTCACACTAATGATGATGTCTCACATTAAGAAAACCAGTTATTCTGATGGGTTATGCTTAGAAAAATATTTAAATAAAAGTTAAGCTCAAGTTATATTAAAGATAAACCACTAGTTTAACAATCACTAGCTATTGCTGTGGGTTACACCTAAGAGTATTATAGCTGAAAGAAATTAGAGAAAAAAAACTTTGCTATGTGCATTTTACAGCACTTACGTGTATACTTTGAATTTAAGTCAGTTTCTCCTGCTTGTGTCAGAGTTTTGCACAGTAAAAGGTGAAAGAAAAGCATTATTTAAAAAGAGTAGTAAAATTTGGCAGAGAGACTCAGGTGCAGCTGAAACTACTTTTTGAAATTGACTAGATTTTAACTTGAGAGTGTCTGTTTACATATGTCATAGTCAAAACCAAGAAATCAAGTCAGCACCACTAGTGTACTTGTTTGTGTAAAATGTTCATAATTACAATTTTGTAAAGGAGGATTGAGCCCAGGATCTCTCTGTCTATATGTTTGTGTGCATATGTGTATATACACATGTGTATGTGTACACATATTTACAGACAGCAGTTGGATAAAAAAATTAATAATCCCTCTTGTACAAAAGAAATGTTTAGCTTATTTTGTGTGCACATAATACCATACATAGTTTACAATAAAAAAACAACAACACAGTGGGATAAATCCTGCAGACCTCTCTCAGGCAAAACTCCCAGTGATCTAGCTGACTGATTTCAAAGGCAATTTTACTTGTATAAGGACTACAAAGTTTGGCCAAGTGAAAAGCCCTGAATGTAACTTGCATATAGAAATTAATATATTACATAGATATATAAAATAAATATATATTATATTTATCTAAATATCTATTTACATATATAATTATTATATATTTTAGCAATGTAAATTATTAAGAAAGGAAAGATCCTAATGGATTTGGTTTTAAAGTATCCAAGTTCACGCTGTACAATACCTCCACAAATTAAGCAGATGGCACTAAGTAGGCCTGTTTCTGTGTCATCCATTTCCAAAGGCAGGAGTTGGTTGGCAAATGTGAACACAAGGTCAGTTAGCGGACCAAATCCAGCATTGTGCATCTGAGTTCGGTTTAGGGTAAGGCCATCTGAAAATGTCATAGTGTCTTGCTCTGGTGTGTATCTTGTGCAAATTCTAAGGATCTGTTGGAGGAGGGAAAAAGAATGACATCTTTTGTGACATAGCAAACTCATGAGGCCACAGTACACATACCCCAAAACATTTATTACATAAAGTTAAGATTTGTGCTATTATTGCCAAAATTCATTATTACAAAGTGCATGGAGACAAAATGAAAATGCCCAGTTTTCACTCTGCTAAATGTTTAAAAAGTTGGCAATTTTCTGGCAAACTTCTCCCATGAATTCCCATTTAGCCAAAATGATCACAAGTCTTCTGTTCCCAAGGTTTGTGTAAGTCATGCACATTATCCTGATAGATACACAATAAACCTTTAGTACTCACTATCAGCCTAAATGTACAGTGCTGTTTCCTTGTAACTCTGGCTCCTAACATATAGTCCTTGGTCCTATCAGTAACAGCACACCAACTTTGTGTTTGGGCTTATACATATTTTAATGATTCTTTTGGATCTGTTCTATATAACTGCTCCAATTCCAAGTAAAGTCTCAAAAATTTTATGAATAAGGAGACAAAAACTTTCCTGAGCCTGTCCCCTCTGTGTGTGCACCAGAGAAGTAACAGAACTGAGTGGAACTGCAGGGACCAGAGGGAGACTTGACAGCGAACGGGACTGTGCTACCATCTGTACACAATCAGCTCTGTAGGAGTCAGCAGATCTAGTAGGAAGAGGGCCTAACTGGGAGTGGTAGGACACGTAAAGAAGCAAAGGCAAATTCACAGTTGTGATTTTTCAAATGAACAGATCACCACAGAACAATACACTTTCAATCAGTACCCAATACATTCTGAAGTGTTCTTCCACTATCACGCTGGTCCCTACCACCTTTCCTAGATTGCTGCACTTCCTGGGAGATGGTTAGGGCTGGTAGCTAGTAAGTGAGCAGGCAGCACAGAGGGGATAGTTCTGTGGAAGTGTAAAAGCATTTTTCACCTATAACAAATACTGCATTTCACTACTGTTTCCTGACAGCATGCAGGTGGGTGTGAGGCTCACATTTGAGAAAATTTGTTTTGGGCAGTCACTTCAGTGAAAAATCATATGCTGATACAGTGACTGTATTTTGATTACTTGCCCCATCAATAACGTGATTTTCATCTTTTGTTCATCTAAATATCTCTGTTCCCATAAAGCTTTGCTACAGATGCAAATGTTGAGCTTGCTTGTGCCTCCATTTCAAGTCAGTGGGATTTTTGCCTCTGACTTTAATGGGGGAAGGATCTGAACCTATTGCTATTTCATTTTTCTCTTGGTGTGTAAGGAGACAACCCCCCAGAGACGAAAGTTCTCAGTTTTTCCCCCTTCACATCTCTTGCCCTCAAAGACCTTCTGTCCTGGTGACCCTTCCTGGTTTTGAAAGCACACCAGCGCCCACTCCCTCGAGCTGGTAGAAGGATCTCTAAAGATCAACACAAAAAGTTCTCCATCCCTCAGTGGCTGAGTTTAACACCTCTGCAAGTGCTCCTTTCCTTTGCCAGCCTGGGAACTCACTTCTGAGCTTGTGACAGACAGTCTGCAGAGCTGGCCCAACTTTTTCTTCTTCTGTTATAATATTTTCGGCATGTTCAAAGTTACAACCTGCTCACCAGCCAATCAGAACCCAGACTTCCTCAAGGTTCTGAAGCTCCTTTACTTTGTCCTGTTCAGCAATCAGAACACTGGGAACCCTGTTGGCTGGGGAAGAGGTTCCTTTTCCTGCCGTTGATAGCATCTTGTATTGTTTTATGAATTGAGGCAGCGTAGATTTCAGTAGATTTACTCGCATGTGTAAGGCCAGTCATGACTGACCCTCAGCAAAGTAGAACATTCCATTGTAGGATGGGGAAGACTCGACATAGGGGGGGAAATGCACAGATAAAACATTTAGAATGCTCTGCATTCGATTAGTAAGTGCTGCCGGAGTAGCTCTATGGTACCAGAGTGATGCATTCAGTATGTAGGTGCCAGGCATTTCTTAAGAGATAGAAAGAACTCTTATGCTAATCAAGACAAAACCATTATATGTAAAGATTTCCTGGATGGCATGGATTAATTTATACAGTTATTGAGTTAATAAAGAAATGGGTACAAGGATCTAAGTAAAACTGATGCAGCCCATCACATACATTCAGGTTACACATGGTGAAAAACAGGTTATAAAATTTCAGGTTTTACTTTTAAAGAACACACAAAAATATAATTGATTAGCTGGCTCAGCTCACATTCATATTCTTTGCCTTCACAATGCTACTTTATCAGGCTTGACTGCATCTATTTCCTGTACAGCCAGCTTACTTTGTTTAAGAGACTCAACAAAAAAAGATTTACACAAATACAACCTAGCACAGAGCGAATTTTAATTATTTCTATAGCTACCGAAGCTCTTGCTCAGAAGCCCTCAAATACTTGGCTGCTGACCAATCTGCGGTTGGTTCTTTCATCTTTGCCTGGCAACAATGTTCCAAATGAGTGGGGAGGAGAATCAGAGGGAATGGCATTTAAGAGACCTACAGGGAAGCTTTTCTCTCTCTTTTTAAACCTCCTGTAAAAGCCCTAATATGGTATATCTCTGTATAAGCCGCCCCCCACCTCCATTTTCTGTCTTAGTCCATAGTCTGGGTATACATCAAAGTATTAAGAATTTGGGCTGAGAGGATGTGTGGGTCAGAATTAAATATATTTTTCTTTGAATTAGAATATGCTCTCAAAATTCCTTTTAAATCAATGATCAAAAGAGGCATAAAGGCAAATACGACTGGTAGCAACATGAACAATTCTGATTAATTCATGGCACTTCTAACACTTTGCTGCCCACAAACTCCCTCCAGGGTAAATGTTCTTGTTTAAGACAGTGTTGGTAGGTCAGATGTTCTGAATCTTTACAGAAGAATGGGTACTAGCCCAATGTATATTTCAGGATTATTAGCAGATGTTAACAAACTACACACTTATATTGCCAATAAGTAAAGGTGGGCAAAGCATCTTTTCCACTTTCATTCCCCATGAACTTATAATACACCTCTACCTCAATATAACGCTGTCCTCGGGAGCCAAAAAATCTTACTGCGTTATATTGAACTTGCTTTGATCCGCCGGAGTGTGCAGCCCCGCCCCCCGGAGCACTGCTTTACCGCGTTATATCTGGGTAGAGGTGTACCATGTGTTGCACTTTAGGGACCCCACAGTTTCCTGCAGCTTTTTTGTCAATGATTTGTTTTCTTAAATCATTTAAAAAAATTATAATAAAAGAAGAGATAAAATGAACTGCTGAAGGAGCAAGAATTTTGATACACCTTAACCCAATGGACTGTAGAGAAAACAAACACATCTATCGCTTAGCAGATCATGCTGTTCGTTGTGAAGAGTGTGATTTGCTTTGCTCCTTCTATCATGGAACTCAGAGCGGGAGAAACCCTATCAAAGTTATCTAGTGTACTCCTCTGCTGGCGCTATTTGGGAACACTGAGCTTCCTTCTATAAAACATCTAGGGGTATAACTCCTTCGCTATGAAACATAGCGACAACAGTTGTATCCCAATATGACAGTAGCCAATGCCGGTCAGATTTCCAACTTTCTGACCGGCAATTCTCAGATTTCAGTTCTTTTTAATTTGAAGTTGCAAGATAATTTGCAAAGTTAAGCCATAGCCCAAGTGTAGAGCCCTTTATTCTAGTACCATTCACCCCACCACCACCATTCTGCCTCAATAATGCATACGGGTGGGACTCAGACTGGGGTTGAATGACATGGTGCTAAAAATACTTGAACATTGTCTACATTACAGCTTCCATCATAGGTGCCAGGGAGCTGCACCAGTTGAGCATTATGAATCCAATTTTTGCCAGAATGGCACGGCTATGGAGATGCCTTTGTCAGCGGTGCTGTTGACCATGTGACAGAGAAGGGGCATTAAAACATTGGCACAGCAGAAGCTTGGATGTCTCTCTTCTGCATTGCACCTGAACTTGACTGGAGCAATCAGTTCACAGATTTCTTTCAAGTGCCTCCTCCCATACCACCTTATGGTTAAACCATGGAACAGGTCAGTGCTGTGTAGCACTTGTTCCCGTCATGGAGAACAGAAAAACATAATGGCCTTACATAATCATTATTAAGCCCTTTCTTAAGCAAACTCCTTGTCAAGTAAATATCAAGCTTAGATTCATTGAAGAACACACGGGGAATGTCAGTACATTGAATAGAGACAGATACAGTGATATTTTTGTTTTAAACCGAATCACTGTCTAGAAACATCCTCCCCTAACATCTTTAATATTGTTTCGATTCCGTAGTGAAGCCAAGTGTTTTAATTGTCACACTGCAGTTAAATGCCACTTGCAGCCATAAATAAAGTTAAGTATCAGAGGGGTAGCCGTGTTAGTCTGAATCTGTAAAAAGCAACAGAGGGTTCAAGAAGTGAGGTTCTTACCCACGAAAGCTTGTGCTCCCAATACTTCTGTTAGTCTTAAAGGTGCCACAGGCCCCTCTGTTGCTTTTTATAAATAAAGTTCTTATGCATGATTAAAGCGTCCTTTGTTTTAAGAAGAACAAATAGCAAAAAAAGAAACATGTTACACAAAAGGAAAAGGAACACATCCAGGAAGCTAAATTTACAAAGCTCTCACTACTGTAAAGCAGTGTCTTTTAAACAGATTTATAAAGGCTGTCTTGACTTTATTTCAAAAATATTTTCACTTTTTTTAACTGGTTTGATAGACAGTTCGACTTCCCAGAAACAGAAGCCACAGCAGGTGCTCTCACTAAAATCCAGCAGTGGCATGTCCACATAATTGTCAGTTTGCACCTATTATTTTGCACACAAAAATGCTGCCTTCGTGTCACTGCATGGGTTTTACAACACCCAAAATAAGAATGATAATTTTAGGGATTAGAGCTGAGAAATTCTTACTTCTTGTACCAAAGGAATGAAGACAGACTGAACTTTCCTTCTCACCTACAGACAACAATAGATAGAACTATGAAGTGACAGTAATCTCTCCATTATTAAGGCTGTGACCAAT